TTTTGCTACTTTGACCGTTTGGCTAGCTGAAAGAAAGATCTTGTATTCAAATGTTGTCTGTCCTGGAAGGAGTTGGAGAATGCTTCTCTATCTGCAGTGCAAAACACTGTGTTTCCCCTGTCTCGGTTCTTGCTCTTACTATGCAGGTGAGAAGGACTCGATGATTTTTGACTGTACTGAATGTTATGATCCTGTTACTAAGCAGTGGACCACTGTCGCTTCCATGAACCATCCCCGTTGTGGACTGGGAGTATGCACATGCTATGGTGCTATCTATGCTTTGGGTAAGTTAATTTTAAAGGTATTAATTCATGGAACTTGTAAATTGATTTGATCTTAAATATTACATCTTGGTGTTGCAAATTTGCAAACTTAAGTTTTGAAGAACAGCTGTTTACATGAGCATTGGTATACCAGATCTTTGTGGATCAGTTATAACTTATTTCCATTGTGGATTACATGCTGGTTTCAGAATTAGTCTGTCCTGGAACAGTGCACTCTATGTCTAAAAATGCAGCTAACATACAGCTTCATGCCATTAAATTCTTTCCTGTGTATGCTGTTATTTGCAGGAGGTTGGGTTGGAGCAGAGATTGGCAACACAATTGAAAGATTTGATCCTGAAGAAAATAGTTGGGATGTGGTGGGAAGCATGGCTGTGCCCCGTTACTGCTTTGGGTGTTGTGAAATGCAAGGTGAATATTGTTAAGTTTGTATCCATAAACAGTTCCAAGAGCCATTGGATTTTGAAGCTTTATGTTTCGGTCATGAATTTTTACCTTTGTCTTGTACTGTGCTGTCAGTTGCACAAGCTTGTGCCTCACTTATTTGTCCTTTTAGTACCATATTTTTAATTCTACAGAACTCAAAGACTATAAAGTTATCTCTGTCTTCTCCCTTTTATCTCATGAAAACAGTTTTTACGTGGCTGCCAGTATGGTTATCCAGCTAGTCTTTGATTGTCCTTCCTGATACTGCTTTCATTTACCTCCCATATTTGGGTTTGTGTGTGTCTTTGTGACAATCTGAAGAGTTGCCACAGGTTATTTTAAGACAGACATGTCTAAAGACTTGATTTATAAATGTGCTTATTAAGCATTTGATCCAGGCCTGGTCAGCATTTGCAGCCTTCTGAATTCTCTCCCCGCACTTGATTAATTATTGCTTTCATCAGAGCTTCTAGTGCTTGAGCCTCAAGTTACTCATTTGAAAGCTTTATGTAAACTACTACTGGACAAATGGAGAACTTCTATCTGGCATTCTTAAACCATCTTAATGTCAGGCTGAAATTTGTATTGTGACAAACATTATCTGTCTTTCAAACTTTTGTATTATGAAACCTAACAGAGGAAAAACTCTGTTTGTACAGGTTTGATTTATGTTGTTGGTGGTATCAGCAATGAAGGAGTAGAGCTACGTTCAGTTGAAGTCTACGACCCAATATCTAAGCGTTGGTCTGAGCTCGCTCCAATGGGCACCCGAAGAGCGTATCTTGGTGTAGCTGCTCTCAACGATTGTATCTATGCTGTGGGAGGCTGGAATGAATCTCAGGATGCACTTGCTACTGTAGAAAGATACTCCTTTGAAGAGGTATGGTAGCGCCCCTTTCTTTCATAAATACAGATTGCATCAATTTTGTGTAAGATGCTATAGAGGTAGCCTGCTTCTTTTCTTTAAAAAGAAAAAAATCGGGAATTCCATTTCCTTTTCACTACTGGCTGGTAATCTGAGTGAAACAAAGCTTCGGTGACCTCAGGGTCTTTCTGTCCTAACCAGTCTGTAGAATCTTGCGATCTGACTTAGTGTTTATAAAGATTGTATGCATGTTTTTTGGAAACTGAAAGCTAACCAATACTGGTGATGCATGAATATACTGTAGTTTGGTAAATACTTGTTAGGGTTAAGATGGGGGGATAGACTCCCCCTCTGTGATAGAATGGTCAATAATCTGACTAGAGAGAAAAAACTCCCTGGAAAAAGTAAGAGTTGCCCTTTGTTGCAGAAGTTGAGGATCTTTCTTCTGCATCAAAATGTAGTGGTGTTTCAGCATGACTAGAAAAATCTCTTTGAACACTTAAACTTTTGAATAAGATAGGAAATTATTCCTGACTATTATTGCTCATGTTTATATGATGCTCTTTGGAACAGTTGCTAGTGTTAAAAGCAGAACACAATCCAGTGTGCCATTCTGTTTCACATCTGGAATTTATTCAAATTTTCCTTATTTCCCACCTCAAACTCTGTGCCATTCTCTGTTCTGGAGACAGACTGCATCTTGCAGTGACTGAAGAAAGGGAGGGTGGTTGTGTACAGACAGTATGTCATCTGTCCTTTAGTGACTAGCATGATTTGGACCACTTTTGAAAGAGTTGTCATTTCAGTCTTGATAATCCTCTTGATACCGTACACATACCATATTTGAGCCTGTGAAGTGTATGCGTAGCATTCTTTGTATATGTTTCAGTCTTCAAGCTTTAAAAGTTACTTTTATCAGAATCGGGGCTTACCCTAAAACTACTTGTTGACTCTTTCACCTTCTCGTTAGGAAAAGTGGGTTGAAGTTGCATCAATGAAGATACCAAGAGCTGGTGTTTGTGTTGTGGCTGTGAATGGATTTCTTTATGCCTCGGGAGGCCGAGCTCCCAGTCATGATTTTGCTGCTCCGGTAACCTCTGACTCTGTTGAAGTTTATAACCCTCATATGGACAGTTGGACTGAAATTGCCAACATGATCACCAGCCGCTGCGAAGGAGGTGTAGCTGTGCTGTAAAACTCACAGAAGAAAACTCATTCAAGGAACGAGTAAATCTGTCTCCTCAGATTTCCGGTTTCGTTGGGCAGAAACCTATTCTAACACAGGAGCTTCAGTAGAGACAGTGGAGAATTAGATCAGAGGGCTTTTCCTGAGCAAAAAGAAATATTAAAACTCTTGCCCTTCAGAGTAAATTGGCTTATCCAATGTCTGTCTCAGGAAGTATTGTTAAGAGTACGAATGCCTCTTATGACTGGATTAAGCTCACCGAAATAAATGGTGAATTCGCCCTGTAAAAATCTGAAGAAATCATTCCAGCACATTAGAGATATTAATCAGGTTGTTAACTCTCTAAGGTGCACAAAGCTAGCATCTTTAGCTGGCCTGACCATCTGGAAGGAGGCTACTATAGACAGCTAGGAGTTACCTGTAGGTAAGAGCAGATGAGCTACTTGGTTAGCATTAGTTGTCCTTTTCTGGTGGCAAACAAGGAAGGTAACAGATGGGGAAGACTTGGTGCCTCTACTTACAACCTTGACGCATTTGAGCCTCTTTGCTGCTGCTGGACATGACGGGCATTAAATATGAATTGGATATTTACTTTCTGCCACCCCACTAACTTGGATGGTAAGTGGCTGAGAATTTCCTGTTCTGGAAGGTCATTCTCACAGTTCTAATAATGTCATTGAGCTTCAGCACACGCTTTTCTTCTCAGTGGTATCAGTGATGACAGTAGAGCTCCTTTTTGTGTAAGCTCTGATGAATTTTAAATGGAAATGCTGCTCATTAGATTAGCTGTTCTGTTTAGGACTGCTCTTAGTATAAAAATATAGGGAAAGCCTTTTGCCCCTTCCCCCCCCCTTAGTTAAATGTGTTTTTACCCTGCGTGACACATGCTGAGACTTGGCATTGGAATACACGCTATTCTACAAGGTACACACGTTCATCCTTGCTACATCTTGTATCCTGCCTCTTCCAAATCTGAGCAGACGGAGCGTTTTGTGATAGAATTAGCTGCATTCAGCATTAAAGTGATGCTATTAGTGTGTTTTGTCTTAAGGAGTTTGTATTTAGCTTGGATACTCTTAGTAGAACAATACTACTCGTGGTTTAGAGTTATTTCTAGAATCATTTAATTAACGTACTTGAAGTTGCTTTTTGCACAATATGATTGCATTTTCTGCACAGCTGTGGATGATTTGGATGGAGTCTGAAGTAAGGCTGCTTGAACTTTGATAGTGTTATTCTAGAACACAAAACCACAACTGGAATGTCACAAAACAGGAAGCCTGCACTGTGTAGACAAAGGAGCATTCATACTGCCTAGATCAATATCCCCTGTGTAAAATTAACAAATTAATACATGAATAAAAGCCTCCAAGGTGAGTGTCGCAGGTACCCTAAGAATCTAGGTCTTTCTTACATTCTAACATAGGGCTGGGAGATTGCCGGGCTAAAACATGCTAGGTGATGGAGCATTTGTTTCTCTGACCGTTCTATAATCTTGTGTGTGCTTTTACTTCAAAAGGATTTCTTATGTGTGTGAACTAATGTCTATTCTTTTTTTTTCCCAAGTTTAAGCTTGTTTTAAACAGTTTTTCATAATAAAATGCATTTTCAGAACTGACCGTGGAATGCTTTTGAATAGGTTGCTTTCCTATCATAATGAGTTGTATCGCTGCCACTTTCTTTTTTTTGTTGTTGGTTTTTTGGTTTTTTACTGGCAACCCTATTTCCCAGTAGGACACTAGGAAAGACTGGTTATAAACATTGACTATTTGAAAGGTGCAAGTAACACACTTCTATAGTAAAATACTCATGTATTTCTCTTCTCAGTGTAAAATCACTCAGACTTCTTGGAAGTCTGGCTGCCTTGCCAGCTCTGTGCAGCCTCTCTGGGATCAAAGGATAGGTAATATTTCTTAGGCTTTCTTCTTTACATTTCAGGATCCCTCGTGAACCATTTAAGAAACATTACCTTAGCTGTATTTTATTAGTTTGGGAACTAGGAGTTCACTTCTGATCCCTACCCATAAACTTTCTGTTTAGTGGAGCTTGCAGGAGTCCGCTGTTATATGAAGTTACCTTCTCCAGTTTCTGTGGTTGATTCTATCACGTTTGAATCAAACTTTGAAGTCGGTTGATTACGGCCTCTGA